CCCCTGGATCGCGCTGCACCGGCGCCGGCGGAGCGGCGGCCCGCGGCGCCGCGGCCGCGGCCAGCTGGCGCGGCGGCGGTGTCGGCGTCCCTGCCGGCCTCGGACAAGGGGTCCTCAGTGTAGAGGTCCTCTGACTGCACGGGGTGGGCCGCCGTCCCTGCAAAGGGAGTTCAAAAGCGTTTGGGACATAATGTGGTGAGGGGCAGCACCCAAGGCGGGTGTGAGTGCGCACGTGTGAGTGCAACGCACGTTGCTTGTGTCAAAGTCCGCCCTCTGTCGATTGCCCCCACAAGCTCGCCACCACCAGGCCCCGGCCACAGGCGCATGCTTGCTGCGCGGTACCCGAGCCCCCGCAGCGCACCCCTCTTGCGCGGCGTCGGCGCCGCCCTCCGCGCCCGCCGCCCGCCTGCCGTCCCCACGCTCGCCCCTGGGCTGCCGGGCTCCGCTGGCTCCGCCCCCCCCTCGTCCCCCTCAATCTCAAACGCCCCCGCGGCCGCGCGCGCCGCCGCCGAGCGGCGACGCGCCGCGGTGGCTGCGGTGGCGGCGCGGCGCGAGGTGGCGGCGCGCGCGGCGGCCCGCGGCAGCTCTGAGGGCGGCCCATCAATCTCCTCTGCCTCCAGCTCTTCCGATGCAAGATCTAGCACGGCCGGCGGCTTGGGTGCCTGTGAGGTGTCAAAATAAGACACCAGGACGCAGACAACCCTCAGTTATGAGCAAGGTGGGTCGGGCCCCAGACAAGTGCGTCGATCGTCGGCAAAGGCCCGGCCCTCTTCTGCGCTCCGTCAGCCGGGCTCATGGCCCAGCCCCCGGCACGTGATCACCTTGAACTTTGGCGTGAGCACGCGCGCCCCGGCCGCCAGGGCCGACGCGGCGGCCGCGGCGGCGGCGACCGCCTTGGCCGCAGGCGTCGCGGCGTCCGCCGGCGGCGCGGCCTCCGGCTCGTCGTCCTCATCCAAGCCCTCATCCACAGCCGCAACACGTCCGCCCAGCTTCTCGCCAAACAGCCGCGGGGCGACGCTTTCGAGGAGGTGGCGGGGGCCGTGCTGGGCGGCCATCAGGCCGGCGCCCGCCAGGCCGGCGGCGAGCAGCAGCAGGCCTGCCGTCGCAAGCACAACACGGAGCGCCTGCGAGGAGTGAAAATGAGGTTGTATTTTGGGGCACATAAACAACATAGCCGGGCTTTGGGAAGGGCACGCCCTCAGGCGTTGACAAGAGGGCGACGTTGCTGCGCATGGCTCCCCCCCTGCAACGGGCTTTCGAGCAGGGGAGCTGGCGTCGCTGGTTGCAGCAGCAGCTGCCGCGCAGGTCCTGCAGCTCGAGCGCACCTGCAGGATTAAGCCTCCCCACCCGCGCTCCGCCGGGGCGGCCGCGCGCTTGGCCGCCTTGGGGCCCCAGGCTGCCGCCTCCAGGCACGCACTCTTGGGGGCCGCCACCAGCCAGGGGCTGGCGCAGGAGACTCGCGCTTCGTAGACCAGGAATTCCAACGATGTCGCGACCGCCAGCGCCGCCGCCCGCTCCGCCGCCAGCGCGTCCGGCCGGCAGTCGGCGAAGCACGCCGCGAGCGGCTCCAGCGGCGCCCAAACCGGGCAGCTGCCCGGCAGCTTCACAGGCAGCCAGCGCTGGACCGGCGGCAGCTCGGGCTCTTCGGGCTCGGGCTCAGCACCCTCCTGTTCTGTGAGGCCTGCGATCCCTTCGTCCTGAGCAACTTCACTGAGCGCCGACGCCTGCTGCTCTTGCTCTTGCTCTTGCTCTGCCGCCGCGGCTACGTCGCTGGCAGGTTGGAGGGCGTCTAATGGCTCGTCCCAGGCCGCTGGCGGCTGCGCGTGCCCTGATGCGTCGGCTGCCGCGTCAGCAGAGTCCTCCACGCCGCTCTCAATGCTTGTGGCCCCCGCTGGCGAGGACTCGCCCTGCTCCGGCGCGCCACTCTCGGCCCCGCTCGCGCGCAGGCGCCGCGCCCAAACGTGGTGCTCCGCCCGCAGGAGCAGCTCCTGAGGGACCCGCAGCGCCGGCGGCGGCAGGCCCGCCTCGAGCGCGGGCAGGCGCCCCTCGAGCACGAACTGCTGCCAGTCGTGCGCGTACCAGCGCGCGGCGCGCACCGCCCTCTGCCAGAGAGGGTCGGCGCTGTCGTCGGTCTCAATTGGCTGCGAGAAGAAGCGGGCGTAATTGTCGGCGCACGCGCGGGCGTTGGCCGCCGAGCACTGCTGCGGCAGCAGCGCAGACGGTGCGGGCAGCCCGTCCGCGTGCCAAGCAGCCGCCAGGGCCCCAGCGATCGCCGCCGCGAGGAGCAGCAGCAGTGCAGCGGCGCGGCGGCCGCGGCCGCGGCGCGGGCCGCTGTCTGCCGCAGGGCCGCCGCGGCCGCCGCCGCCGCCCGGCCTGACTGCGGCCCGCCCGGCATCGACGTCGCCTCCCGCCGCCCCCACGCCGTACAGCCTCTCGACGCTGGCCAGCGACCCGGCGTCACCGGCAAGTGACATGAGCAGCTGCTCCAGGTCTGCCGGGTGACTCGATCCCATGGGCGACGCCAGGATGACGCCGGCAGGGGCGGATGGGCCGCTGGCAGCGTAAGTGTCACCCGTGTCCGCCTGCCGCGCGTCCGTGTCGTCCGCAGCAGCCGCACGGCTCGAGCCGTTTGCAAGCTTGCTCGGCGGCGGCGTGGTGGCCGGCGAGGCCCGCGCGCCCGGCGCGTGCTGCGGCGTCGCGCCGGCAAAGTCGAGCGCGCGGCTCGGGGACGGGGAGCGCTGGGGGTCGGGGCTGGAGCAGGCGCCGGCGGCCGGGGTGCAGTGGGAGCCGAAGGATACGACGCTGCCGCGGCTCTCGGGGGATGCGGCAACCTGGGGGAAAGGAAAATCGCAGGGCAAACCGCGAGATCGGCACCCTGAGGTGAGCTGACAGCCACAATCCTGAACTGGATCCTGCAGTCTGACTTTGACCAAAGGTCCTGGATTGTGATGCGCCAGAATTCTGGTCAAAATCAGGGAATATGCTGCAGTTATTGGCAAAAACACCCCTGTCGCCCTGTGCCGCGCGCACCTGCGAGCCCGTCGCGGGCGACAGGCCACCCGCCCTGCCCTTCAGCCGCAGCGCCGCGCCCGCCGCGTCTCCGCCGCTCGCCGGCGCCGCGCGCCGCTGGTCGCCCGCCGCCCCCCGCGCCCGCGCGTTGTCGGGCGCGTCGGCCGCGGGGGTGTTGGCGGGCGCTCTGAGGGATGGGCCACCCGCGTCCCCCGGGGTGCCTCCGCCGAGGTAGAGGCCCGCGCCTTTCTGGGGCGGGGCCAGACGGGAGCTTCCAGCTGGGGGGGCGATGCGGCCAGCCGGGGTGGGTGCGGGCGGGGGAGAGCGGTGTGGGTGAGCGGGTGCTCAGGCTGGGGCCGTCCCTGCATGGCACATGGCAAAGCATTTGAGAAGAAGCGCCCCTAGTGGCTGGTGGCACACTCACATACTGCGGCTTGGGCGCTGATCTTGCCGGCCGCCTGCATCGAGGGGTGATTGGGGGTTCCAAGGGTCATGGGGTTTTGGGGGAAGAGGGGTGGAAGGACGAGCGGGTGCGGCCCCAGCACCAGGGCCCCAGCGGTACTACAGACTACGCACAGTGCCTCAGATGATCGGCCTCCCTGAAGAGGAGGCTCACCTGCCGCAGCACAGGCGTCGCCCCCCTGCCGTGCCTGTCGCGGGCGGCCCCGCCGCCGCTGGCGCCCGCTGCGGCGCCTGACGCGTGCGGCGCGGGCCCAGAGGCGGCGGTTGCGGCGGTGCTGCCGCCGCTGTGGTAGGGAGACGGCGCGGCGCCGCTCGTGCGGCTCCTGAAGCTGGTGGGAGTGATTTCGCTGGGCGTGGCCACGGCCCCGCTCGTGAGCCAGCTGCTGGGCGACGGCTGCTGCGTTTGCTGCTTCTGCGGCTGTGGTTGCTGCTGCGGCTGCTGTTGACCGCCGCCACGAAATTCAAAGCCGGCGCTGGCATCCCCGTGTGGCACACGCGACTGTGGCGTGTGGGCGCCGGGCGTTCCAACATCGGGTCCGGGCCAGTTTGCCGTGCTGTACGGTGAGTACCCTGAGCTGGCTGCCGAAATGGGGTGCGGCTGCGGGGCGCGCGTCGCGTTGGCCTGCGGCGCTGCTGCTGGTTGTGCTACTTGCCGTTGCCCGCCACCGCTGCTGCCGGTGTCGCCACCGCGGTCTGCAAAGCCTACACGTGCCTTCATTGAATGTCGAAATTATCACACAGCTGTGGAGCCCGCAGAAAGGTTGGCACGACAGCCAGGAATAAATTTCAATTCAATCCCCGCCGATCACAGTGGTTTGGAGGTATCTTGAAGCTGAGATCCGGCAACCGAGTTGCGAGCTAACAATGAATCGTACATGAGGCCAGGCACGCTTTCGACGGAGATTGTTGCTCACCAGGCGGGTCCACACCGGTCTGCAGATGTGAGGAGCACAAGGCATTCTTGTGATGAAGCATGAGACAATGACTTTGTCCAGCAGCCTTCTATGCCAGATCCACAGCGGTTCTCACGCATGCGGGGGTCGCACCCGTGTTGCCCTGCCTAGCTGGTGTGTCGTGGTCAGGTCTGGTCGTGGTGGCTGCGACTGTCTCATGCACTTGTCAACATCCACGACTGCGACCTGTATCACGGTTTGCCGGAGCACCATTGTTACATCAAGTATCCCACGTGTATGAGGGGTTTGCGGCCCAGCAGCATTTCAGGGTCCCCACATGGTCTGATGATTGCTGGTCCACGCTCGTATCAAGCCAGCGTGAGCGGAAATGCTGGGTGCCAGCACACAGCCACCCTGTGCGCTGCTCGCAGATACTCATGCAGTAAAGTGCGCGTTGTCTTCATATAGCTGAGCCGGCAGCGCAGTGGACGGGTCGAGCGCGCGGCGCGCCGCTTCGCACGCGTTTGGCGCCCGCATCAACGATCGGCGGCGTGACTGTGATCTCACAGGTGGGGCCGACGCCGACACCTCGCCGTGCCAGCAGCACCGCGCCACAGCCGCGGACAAAAAACTTGAGGGATGGATATGTGCATATCCCATGCTCTATCGCAGCGGCGCTCTGCCGCGCCCGCAACAGCTCATGAGGGAGGCCTCATGGCCGCCAACCCAAACCCACCAACCCCCACCCGGCTCATTCAAGTGCCAAAGCCCACCTGCCCGTATTGCAATCTCTTCTTCATCGTTTCGACCAGGATACGTGTGCCTGGGGCCACGCCCTGCCCCTTCCTACAACCCTGCCCCTGCCCCTGCCCTTGCGCCGCCGGCGCCAGCCACGCCCCGGCCTCACAGCCCCTTGCGCAGCCGCCGCTGCTCCTTGCGCTGCACGTAGCTGCGCAGGTTGACCATGGGGGCCAGCAGCAGCAGCGCGAGGCCGCACGCGCCGATCAGGGTGCTGAAGTAAGTGCTCCAGCCGTACTCCTTCACAATGATGGACAGCGGGATACCCGCGTTGGCGGCACCTGGTGTGGGGCCGAGCGACGGAAAGTGACGCGGGTACGCCGCACGTTGCGGAGGGTGTCGGCGTTTGGGCTGTTTCGGGGTGGAGGGTGCGCGCACGCAGCAGCAGGAAGAAGGGGCGGTGGCGACATTCATATGCGCGATTTGGCCGGCGCGCTTGCAACACGGCAGGGGTTGGTGTGTGACGGCGGCTCGACGCGGTGGGACAGTGGGCCGGGGCGCTCACCCAGGTACGCGATCCAGCTGCGGCGCAGAGCGTGAAAGGGGGGTGGGCGCGGAATCCGAGGGGTCAGCCATTGTCGTTGCTTGCACGGCAAACCTGACCAGCTCCTGCAAACCCCCTCAAATCGGCAGTCACCAATTCACAACCGCCGCAGTGCTCCCCCCCACCCCTTGCACACC